AAATAATTTAAATACCATGGAGAAACAGTCAGGATTATGCAGGATTTAGCAGCTTCTCCATTAAAGGAATAAAGAGCTTGGAATATGATATTCCAGAAGGCAAAGAAGCTTGGATTACAATCAAGAATCAATTACCCAGCAAAATCGAGCATAATCTTTCAGGAGCAAAGATGGGTATTCAATGAAATAGGAGACTTGCGATCATTCCTGATTAAAAATCTAGAGCTGAACAGAAAATTCATTTTTCAAATTCAAGACTCATGAGAAGCATAAAAAGGTAAAGAGGAAAGAAAAAAAATAGACATGTTATTCAATAAAGTTAAACTGTTCACATCCCAACATGGGAAAGTGATACTTGCAACTCTTGAGAACTGTATCTTAATTACACCACTTAGTAGAGTTATATGTAGACAAAGGATATGAGTATAAATTGACTTTGATGTGATGACAAAAAAAATAATTAAGGTGTGAAAAAAGGATTATACTGGGAGAAAAGGAAATGAAGAGGCAGAAAAGGGTAAATTATATCACATGAGGAGATGCAAAGATCTATTACAGTAGAGGGAAAGAAAGGAGAGAGGAGAGCATTGTTTGAACTTCACTCTCATTAGATTTGGATCAAAGAGAGAACAACACACACATTCAGTTTATTGTAGAAATTTAACTTACTTTATAAGAAAGTATGAGGAGAAAGGGGAAAGAAAAGGGAGGGGTAGATAGAAAGTAGGGAAGAAGTAGTAGAGAAAAAAGGAAAGAAAAGGGAGGGGGATTGATAGAGGGGAGGGCAGAGTGAGGGAGGTGGTAGTCAGAAACAAAACTCTGGTGAGGAGAGAAAGGGTGAAAGGAGAAAGAAAAGTATAAATAAGGGAAAGGGGAAATGGATGGTGAGAAAGACATAGTAATCAACTATGAATGTGAATGGTATGAACTCTCCCATAAAATGGAAGCAAATAGCAGAATGGATTAAAAATCATAATTCTACAATATGTTGTTTAAAAGAAACACACATATGAAGCAGAGAGATATGCACAGAGTAAAGGTAAAAGGCTATAAAAGAACATATTATGCTTCAGGTGAAGTAAAAAAATAAGGTGGGGTAGCAATCCTGATCTCACACAAAATAAAAGCAAAAATAGATCTAATTAAAAGAGATAAGGAAGGAAAATACATCCTGCTAAAAGGTATCATAGACAATGAAGTACTATCAATACTAAACATATGCACTAAGTGGTATAGCATCCAAATTCTTAGAGGAGAAGTTAAGTGAGTTGCAGGAAAAAAAATAGACAGCAAAATTGTACTAGTGGGGGATAAAAAAATTTTTTTTTGGTTAATTTGATTAAAAAAAAGAAAGAAATTCAAATTACCAGAATCAAAAATGAAAAGGGTAAATTCACCACCAATGAAGAGGAAATTAACATAATTAGGAGCTATATTGCCCAAGTCTATGCCAAAAAAAATGACAATCTAAGTGAAATGAATGAATATGTGCAAAAATATAAATTGCCAAGATTAACAATAAAGGAAATAAAATATTTAAGTAACACCACTTCAGAAAAAGAAATTGAACAAGCCATCAATGAACTCCCTAAGAAAAAAATCTTCAGGGCCAGATGGATTTACAAGTGACTTCTACCAAATATTTAAAGAACAATAAATTCCAATACTATGTAAACTATTTGGAAAAACAGGCAAAAAAGAAGTCCTACCAAATCTTCTTACAATACAAATATGTTGCTAATACCTAAACCAGGAAGACACCAAACACAGAAAGGAAATTATAGACCTAATGAATTTTGATGCAATTTCCCCAGTGAATATTGATGCAAACATTTTTAAACATAATATTAGCAAAGAGATTACAGCAACTTTTCACAAGGACAATACACTGTAACCAATTAGGATTTATACCAGGATTGTAGGGCTGGTACAATATTAGGAAAACTATCAGCATAATTGACCATATCAATAATAAAATTAACAGAAATCATATGATTATCTCAATAGATGCAGAAAAAGCTTTTGACAAAATACAGCACCCATTCCTACTGAAAACCCTAGAGAGCATAGGAATCAATGCAAGTTTCCTTAAAATGATATCTAAAACCATCAGAAAGTATTATATGTAATGTAGATAAGCTAGAAGCATTTGCAATAAGATCAGAGGTGAAAACATACATTTAGACTCCATAGTTCTTTCTCTGGATGTGGATAGCAATTTCTATCGCGAGTTTTTTGGAGTTATCTTAGATTCTTGCATTTCTGTGAAGAACCAAGTCTATCAAAGTCATTCACCGCACAATTGTTATTGTATACAATGTTCTCCTGGTTCTACTCATTTTACTCTGCATCAGTAAAAAAGAACAAACAAAAACCCTACCCCTCTTATATGTAGGATAGATTTAGTTACAATATTGAATAGTAGTGGTGATAATGGACATACTTTAGTTAGTAATAGAAGGAAAAAGAAACTGAAGAAATTAAATAGGCAAGGAAGAAACAAAACTATCTCTCTTGGCAGATGATATGATGGCATACTTAGAGAATCCTAGAGAATCAACTAAAAACCTATTTGAAATAATTAACAACTTTAGGTAAATATGAAAAAATGTTCTAAATCACTATTGATTAAAGAAATGCAAATCAAGATGTTTCTGAGATACCACATCACACCTATCAGATTGGCTAACATGACAAAACAGGTCAATGATAAATGTTGGAGAAGATGTGGGAAAATTGGAACACTAATGCATTGTTGGTAGAGTTGTGAAATGATCCAGTCATTTTGGAGAGCAATTTGGAACTATGCCCAAATGGCTATAAAATTGTGCATACCCTTTGATCCAGCAATACCACTTCTTGGTCTATATCCCAAAGAGATCATAAAAAGGGAAAAGGACCCACATGTACAAAACAAATTATAGTAGATTTCTTTGTGGTGGCAAAGAATTGGAAATTAAGAGAGTGCCCATCAATTGGGGAATGGCTGAACAAGTTGTGGTATATGAATGTAAAGGAATCCTACTGTGCTATAAGAAGTAATGAGCGGGCAGACTTCAAAAAAACCTGGAAAGACTTACATGAACTGATGCTGAGTAAAATGAGTAGAACCAGAAGAACATTGTATACAATAACAGTTGTGTGATGAGTGACTTTGATAGACTTGGCTCTTCACAGAAATGCAAGAATCTAAGATAACTCCTAAAGACTCACGATAGAAATTGTTATCCACATCCAGAGAAAGAACTATGGAGTCTGAATGTACAGTGAAACATACTATTTTCTCTCTCTTTTTTTCTTTCTTATGGTTTTTCCCTTTTGTTCTGATTCTTCTGTGATAACGTGACTAATGTGGAAATATGCTTAATATGATTGTACATGTATAGCTTTTATCAGATTGCATACCATCTTGGGGAGGGGGAGAGAAGGAAGGGGAAAACTTGAAACTCAAAATGTTATAAAAATGAATGTTGAAACTAAAAATTAATAAATATTTGTAAAAATATATTGATTTTTTTAAAAAAGAAAACCAAGACTTTTGAGACAGAGATAAGAAGAGAATACGTTCTAGGTAAAGATAACAGCCTGTGCAGAGACATGGAGGTAAGAATAGCCATTTGTCTAGAACCAAGAGCGTCTGTATTGAGATAATGCAATATAATTTAGACTACATAGTTAGACTGAGGTCACATTATAAAGAATTTTTAATTCCAACCTGAGAAGTTCATATTTTTTTCTGTAGACAATAGACAATCTCTTAACGATTCTGGACCCAGTGTGTGATATGGGCAGACCTTTAGGTATTTTATTTTGGCAGTATATAGAGGACAGAATGGAAAAGGGAAAAATGGAAAAAGGGAATCTTAATGTGAGACTACTACAATAGTCCAGGTATGAAGTTGATACACTCTTAAACCAAAATGTGGCCACATGAATGGAAAGAAGGGAAAGAATGTCAGAGATGTTGCTTGAAGTAACATCCTAATAGTGTATAATTTCCTTGAGGGTAAGGATTGTGCTGCTTTAGTCTGTGCTATCATCTCCTAGAATAGTGTCTGACACATATTTGACACTTAAAAAATGCTTATTAATTAGCAAAAATCACTAGAAAACCTGAAAAGCAGTCTGGCAGAAGTTAGGAATTGACCAACATCTCACATCATATACCTTGATAAACTCAAAATGGATAAATGACTTAGGTATAAAAGGTCATATTACAAATAAATTAGAGGAAAAAAGGAAGAAAATGCCTCAGAACTATGGACACAGGAAGAGTCCATGACCTAACAAAAGATACAAAGCATCCCAGAAGGGAAAATTGATAGTTTTGATTACATGAAATCTTAAAATGCATTTATACTTAAAAAAAATGTTGTTAAAATTGGAAAGGTAACATATTGTGAAAAGGCATCTTTACATAAAGTGTCTTTGATAAATCTCTTAACTGAGATGTATAAGGAACTGATTTAAATTTATAATAATAAGTTGTTCCACAACAGACAAATGTCCAAAGGAAATTATTAGGCAGTTTTCAAAAGAAGCAATCCAAGCTGTCAAAAAGCAGAAGTGCTCCAAATCACTAATAATTAGAAACACAAATTAAAACAATGATGTGATCATACTTCATACCCATCAGATTACAAAGATGACAAAAACCGAAAATGACTACAAACATGACATACCAGGGATAGTGTAGAATTGATTCAGGATATTTTGGACTCAATAACCCCAGGTATTCCTTTCCATTCTGATTTTCCATGATTCAACCATTTTGTTATTCTCCTCCACTTAATAACTGAATTTCAGTGCGTAAGCCATTTAATCACATTGATCTTCATTTGCAAAATGGAGATTAAAATAAGAACTACTGTACTTTCCTTACAGATTTCTTCTGGTAAAGTACGTTGCAAATTTTAAAGCACTTTTACAATTGTTATTATTACTCTTTGTGTGTGTGTGTGTGTGTGTGTGTGTGTGTGTGTGTGTAGGGGGGTTCTTACCCTTGGCAAGGAATTGTGTCTTGATCTGCAATCCTTGCCTCTTCCAGCTGTTGATATGCTGGTCCTGCAATCCCATTGAGTCTACTCCGAGGAGAAGGTGGAGTCCTTCGGAAAGCATTCCGATGTAGCATTCCAGTCCTTTGCCCTGGGCTACAGCATGAAGAAAGACTCCTAAACAAGAAAAGAAGGGAAGGGATGAATTTTGTAGAACAAAAGTGGAAAGCAAAGAAAATGGGTTCCATAAGGAAAGACCCTAACAGGAAACCCAACAGTGACTGTATCTGGTTGGTCAAGTTGTATAATGTGTGTGTGTGTGTGTGTGTGTGTGTGTGTGTGTGTGTGTGTGTGTGTGTGTAATCACACAAAAATTCATTGTTGTAAATCTCTCAGCCAATGTATTATAGATTAAAGCAGTGTGGCATAGTGGATAGAGCTGTGTTCTTAGAGTCAGGAAGACTTGGGTTTGAATCCTGTCTCAGATACATATCAGGAGTATGAGCCCTGTTTCCTCTTTTATAAAATGGGGGTCATAATAGCAACTATCTAACAGGTTTTTCTTTGTATATGTTAAAATGCCATATAAACATTAGCTGTTAATGATGATAATGGTGGTGGTGATGTTGGTGGTGAGATTCTTATGTGTCCAGCCCTATGCACTAGGTATACACATGAAAAAGAGAGTGCCTATTCTCAAAATGTTCATAAGGTAGTTGTGGAAGTCAACACACGTAGGAATATTTAGCTGCAAGAAAACTGGACAGTCAGCTGCTGTTTCAGTGACAGGGTAGATGGGCAAGTCCAAGAGTACTTGAGGTCCTTCAGAGTGTGTGCCCTATAGGGTGGGAAGCAAGTGATATTAGAAGTATTGCTTACTCTGGTCTAAACTTAAAGAATTGGAGAGGCAGAGCCTTTCCATGATTTCTTGAATAACAATTTAAAGCAGGAATAAAATAAAATAAACACTGCAGAAGGCTGAATCAGGTATTTTATTTGTTTGTTTTGTTTTGTTTTACAAAATTCCCACCAAGGCCCATCCCACTAAATTCTTGTCATCTTGCTCTCTGATGCAGTTTGCTCAAGGAAAAATAAACAAGTCTTATTATTAAAGACCAGCAATAAATAAACACAGGGAGCCCTGCAGAGATTTGTCTGGAAATTTGCAGTTGTTTCAGCTATTATATAAAGAAACCTTGTTGAAACCGACATTCTTTTCTCAGCACACAATTCCCAACTTAATGCCCTAAATTTTCAGGTATTGTGGGATCCACATTGGTTTTCTTTCAGTCTGCTTCTAATACAAGTAAGTATACATTCTACGAGAGTTTTGACACATACATATGTTTTGGCAGTATTACTAAGTCACAGGAGTATTGAATGAGTTTTACTGTAAGCCCAGTCTAACCTCAGGCTCCTGGGTGAGCCATCTCTTCAATCAAATAGTTTGATTTTCCTCTCTTCCATTAAATTTGTAAGCTGATAAGGAAAATACTATCAGAGTTGGAAAGGATGTTAAAGATCAACTAATATAAATTCCCATTTTTATAGAGGCAAAAATTGGAGCTCAGAAAGGGAAAAGTAACTTGCTGGAGGCTGTATTATATGGTAAATATATGTGAGGTAATTTAAACATATATTTTGATTTCCATTCCAATGTCCTGTGTGTTACATCAGGCTGATCAAATTGACCCCTTGTACTGCCCTATATGTTGTAATTTGCCACTAGATTTTAGAGAGTCCAGTCAAAATGGCTCTAGGCAGATTTACAATCTTAGGCACCAGTGTGAATTTGACAGTTTTGTGCAAAACCCTCACTTAATTAGAGAATATCTACATTACTCCATGAAATAGGATTGAAAACATTTCCACATTCAAATATACCTTCTATAGACCACGGGAGGCATAATGATATGACTCACTTTCCATGGGTGCTGGATTTACATTCATTCATAGGAAATGGATTACTACTACAGCTCTGCCAGTTATTACCTGTATGATCTCAGACAAGTCATTTATCATTAAGTCACTACTATGTGTCAAGCACTGGGGTTAAGTGTTTTACAAATATTTCATTTTAATGTACCATATAAAACATTGTTATTATTATCACTGTATGTTACTAAAAATCTCCATCAATAATATGGGCAGCTTCTCTAAAAATATTCATCTCCACCATGCCATCTAAAGAAAATATCATTGGTGGATTTTATATGTGCTGTCCAACAATTAAAAAGAATGAAGATTGTACATTGAAAAGCCTAAAATTGATAGTTCATTTAATCATAAATTGTTGCTTAATAATAAGCACAAAATCAATAAATGGATTTTATTGGATAAAATACTTCAAGAAAAATATGATTATGATGATATTATTGTTATTATTATTATATGTTGTAATATTTCTTTCAATGTTCCCAAATGAAACACTCAATTTTAATGAAGACTTCTTCAAAAGATATTCCTATGACTGATTGTTAGCTGTGATTCAGAAATTACTTCTTTAATGAGTCACATTTGAGATGTATAATCATAAGTTAATTATTTGTAACTTAAACCTATACCACTAGTCATAAAGAATGAACTAGTGACCCAACTGAAAATGAAAAAGATCTTTTTTCTACTACCAATCAATCAGTCAAATAGTACTTGTAAACCAGTGGCACTTGGTAAGTTATGGAGCAGTTTGCATGATGTATAAATCAGCAATTGGGTGATCAGTCATGGAAATGTTGAAGTCTATAGCATGTCTTACAAAACAAAAGCCTGATCTATTAAACTATAAATTACAAAATCACAAAAACTTCTTTATCCATCGAATCTTGTCTATTTATCAGAACAAAAATATATGTGAGGAACAACTAACCTAATGCACTTTGGGAATAGTCCAAAAGAAAAGCTTCTCTTAAAGAGTTTACTGTATAATTTATTTGAAATATACTTAGGAAAAGTCATTTAAGCAAGGCACAAGAACCAGCACATTTGCCAGGAACAGAAATAAATAGCTCTCCAAGCTCTGTCGCTTAAGAAAGCGAAAAAACAAACAAACAAACAAACAAAACAACATTCCATTGTTTGAAATAATCTCAGTTTTTCTATTTGCAACTTCATTTTATAGTGCTGGAGGAAATATAATGAGTGAGATTTTGAGTAGCTTTAATAATACACACTATACTTTCCCCCTTTTAATATCTCAGGAAAACTGCTTTCAATACAATATTTTGCTTCTAAAAGACTGGAATCTTTGGATCTTTTTTTAACTCCTCTAAAGAGTAGAAAATTCCCATGAAGTCCTTCTACATTTAACAGTACACTGCCATAAAGCAAAAATTCTGATGTTGAGTAAGTGAATATTCTAAATTATAATGCATTAAAATAGACAATTATATGCAAGCCACTTGGATATTTTAAATTCATAGGCAAAAGATGCTAGAAGAAAAACACAAAATGTAATATCATAAACTTAAAACAAAATGAAAATTTAAAAATTATTTAGTCCCAACTCCTTATTTTATCTATAAAGAAACCGAGGTTTAGAGAAGTTGTGATATTCAATGTCTTGTAGATCAAAAGTCGCATGACTGGGAAACAAACTCAGGTCTCCTGATTCCTTAGCTAACATTTTTTTCCCCTGCTGTTCCATGTTCTATTTCCTTTCAGTTTGATTTGTCAAGTTGTGGAACTATAATTTTAGAAGGGACCTTAAGAATCATGTATAAAATAGCTCTTTTTCTGATTTTGGAACCTGAGTCCCAGCATGAATTGCATAGATGGAATCACATTTACCAGCACATTGATTCATGCCATATTGTTTTATAAAAAATAGAATAAATTAATTTTAAAAAGTTGGTTTTGTTCCTTACTGCTGGTTTCTGCTTTTTCTTATTTTTTGATAGCTGTACATTATAGGCATTATCATATACTTCAAGAGATATCACTGATGCTAATTCAAAGCTCTTAAAAAATTACTATTGCCATGACAACCAAGTTAGAAGAATGCAAACCATGAGCATCTATTTAAAATGCAGTAGATGAGAGTTTGAGTTGTATCTGTGTGCCTGTATTTAGTTGAGCCATTTATAACTATTCATGTCATATTTTTAATCTGCAAAATAAGGATATTCAACTAGATTATTTCTAAAGTCCTTCGAAACTCTGAAATTTACCATCTCAGAAAATACTAAGTGTTGGAAAGTTTTCTCCAGAAAATAGGCCCATGTCAGCCAATCAGTTTCTACAACTCTCATTTAGTTTGTTACCTTAAATAGCATTGCCCCTGGTGAGCACAGGAGGGAAGGTTGTCGTGTTCCCTTCCCATTTCAAGATCTGTTTGTTTAAAGTGACTATGCTGGAAGACTGAACTTTTATGATGCCATCTGCCTAAGGGGGAATGAGTCATTAACTTCACAAACTGAGATAATGCAGGAGAAGAGGGGAAAAAGTTATGCTTTTTAACAGTTTTTCTTAATACAATTGTTTTATTCACTGGTCTGTGTCTACAACTTTGATGGGTCTGTTAATGCTTCCTTTAGGCTTTCCACACAAGGTGATATTATGTATGAACAGCATTATGAACTTTCTTGGTCTACCTGCTGGGAGATGTTTGGACATCTGTTTACAAATGGATTGGAGTATATAGTTCACAGACTATAGATTCTCTATCAGGAATGCAATTATTAGTAGGTATATGTGTTACTAAATCAAGTAAATATCTGCTTGATCGCTTTGTGTTCTGAGGGTTACTGATCCCTATTTTGCTTTTAGTTATATTTACCTGTGGTGTTTGAAGGACTGGCTTCCTCTGTCAGGAGAATGGGCTTCTTGAAAAGGTTGGTTGCCAGTAAAACTGGATTCCATCATTTTCTCCAACGTACGTCCTGGGTGCCTCTCTGTCTTTGAATACTGTGGGATGATGGATTAAAAAAAATCACAAAGTGAGAAACATAGAAAAGGAGAAGAAAAGCTTTAAAAATTAATAATTGATACTGGCAGATTCCCAACATTTCCACCTCTGCTCAAGATGTATGAATAGGACGATGGTGGCAGAGAAATATGAGCATTCGTTTGTTCATACACCTCATAATTCACAGATTTTCCTGAAAAGCCTATGGAAGAAAAATCTTTTTAGTCCATTTGGAGGTCTTTCTCCCTCTAGATCCTAGCTCATGAATGATTATAGAGAAGCTTTCTGTCAGGAATGTCAGCCCTCGGATTTCCATATTAGTCACCACCACTGTCTAGCTCCCTTCTGTTCAAAGGGACATTTGAGAAGAAACTTAGGATCATGGGATTCCAGACCTTAAAGCTTGTCTAACCCTACCTTCCCTTTCATTTTATCAATTAAGTAACTTTCTCCATGTCATACAACTTAAAGGCTAACTCTCCCAGTTAATATTACCTGAATTACCAAGGCAAAGTACCCTCTTTCCCATCAATTTTCTTATGCATCTTACCTGATCCTGCCTTTTGTAAATATCTTAATCTCCCTTGTGTCATCATCATTTGAGTATACCATTACCCTTGATCAGGTTGGAAAATCCTTATGAGCAAGTCTGATGTATGGTTGTATTCAAAGTGCTAAGCAAAACTCCTTGAACATAATACTTTATACATGTTTTCAGAATGAGTGAGCCAAATATATGACAATCAATGGTCCTATGTAAGGTTAATGGGTGCTTACAAAGGGGAAATCTGCTATTACAAATGTACTAACTGTAAGACAAGCTCAAACTCCTCCATTTATATTCTTTGTTTCTGTCATTATTTGCCTCTGTCTCTGTCTCTGTCTCTCTCTCTCTGTCTCTCTCTGTCTCTCTCTTTCACACACACACGTACACACACACACACACACACACACACACACACATACACATACCCCACAACCCCCAAAAGAGAAAATAAACCACAACCTTTAGTAACTGTGCAGCTATATCTTATGCTATGACTTATCAGCTCTCATGAGATACATGATAAACTAAACAATCTCAAAGGAACTTTTGACCCAGAAGAGATTGCATCTGCTGTATCAGCCAGCATGTTGCCAGGTAATTTTGAAATGCCTACAAGTTCCACAACATTCTAAAGGGCAGTTTGGAATATGTAGCCATTCATTCAGAGCCCCTGAATGAAAACCCTAACCAGAAATGCTACTTTTGGAAGCCTAATGAAACTGGGGAAATTTGACTTAAAATTATGCAAAAGATATAACATAAGTCAAAGGTTTGGAATGTCATTCTGGAAATACCTTTCATCTTGGGTGGAAAAAACAAAACAAAACTTGGTTTGAAAAGGGTTTTAGATTGCAGAGACAACATTGTTGCCCTAAACTTCCTTCTAGGATGGAAGGACAATTAAATTTCATATGTTTAAAGAAGCAGATATTATCCTCCACAATATTTGTTTGTTTTTACAGAGGCTGCATGAAATATGGTAGGGGGAGGCCTAGAAGCTAGAACAACTGGAATTCAAACCCCATCTCTGACATATACTTGCTGTCTGACCCTGGACCTCTTGACCCATAAGGGACCCAGGCAAATCTCTAAGACAGAAAGACAGATAGAACAGGTGTTTAATACGTGCCGAGCACTATCTCTAAAACTATGAGTTGTAGAGAAGGTGCCAGCTTGCTTTAGTAGAGAAAGTCACCTTACTAGATTTTCTTATACCAATGAAATCCCAGTTCTATTCTCTATTCATCTCTCTCTCTCTCTCTCTCTCTCTCTCTCTCTCTCTCTCTCTCTCTATATATATATATATATATATATATATATATATATATATATATATATATATATATATGAAACAGGTATATATATATATATATATATATATATATATATACATACATACACACACATTATATATTTACCATTTCAGTTGGTGCTAATGGATGTCATAGAGACTGCACCAAAAGCTATGTAAGTGAAACATCAATGGGCCAAACTAGCCTGAATCTGTATCAGTCACACAGATCAACAGAGAAAACAAACCAGTGAAGGATTTGATAAACTGGTCAGGGAGCAAAGCTAGGATTATACACATTTGTTTAAAAAAATAAAAAAAAGTTTGACCCATATATGATTCCCTTGAAGCCTTCTCAATCAACCACCAAGTGGCAGTACTGACCATATTTTGAACAAGACAATCTTGCGCAAAGGGATTGTTGATGTTATTCAAATGCAAAATGTGGTTAATTGATTCAGAATTCCACTCCCACCCTCAGCTTCTACCCCTCAAAAATACTAGTACCACCTAAATAATTCTAAGATGGGCTTGACTGAGAATTCAGCTCATGATGCCACTGACAAGTACTGATCACTCTTTATAAGTGAAATTAAAATTGTACCTGAATGATATAAAACATCCATGTGAAAACTGAAAAATTCAGAAAGTTATCTGCATATATTAAAATATTTTTGCCTGGGACCACAGAGACCACGTATCTATGTGATCAGCTTATGATATGGGTTTGTAACCAAGCATTCTAAATACCTGCCTGCTTTAAAAATGGGCATGGGAGTAAAGAGTAAGAAATGTATTCTGAGTCAGAGGGAAATTTTTGCTTTCACCTGGAATCTGCAATATTAATGATGTATATTTTTCAGTATAAAAGGACAAAATCCTTTAACTATTTCGCTATTAAGGACATGGACCACATGGAGTCAAAAAGACAAGTTTCAAATCCTGTCTCAGATGCAAACTAGCTCAGTGTCTGTGGGCAAATCTCTAAACTTCTTAAAGCCCCAGTTCCTTCATCTGTAAAATGGGTCTGATAGCATGATGTAGTAGATACAAGGTCAGGGACGGAATCAAGAGACCTATGTCCAACTTCTGAATCTGATACGTGCTGGCTAAGTCAAATTGAGCAAGTCATAAATCTTTCAGCGCCCTAGGATACTAAGTTACAGAAGAGGTGTAGGTCTGCAAGAGAGTTTCCTTACTTAGAGTTCCCTTTAGCAATGAAATCACAGGATCAGGAAAAAAAAACAGCTGGATAACATGTGGGGAGTTAAGAAAAGCATGTGCATCACAAAGGTGTTGTGAGATTCAGAGATAAAATGTGAACAAACTTTGCAGTACTTATGGCACAATATCAATGTCTTTTATCATAATTATTTTTGTTTTCTAGGACTAATCATGATCAATATTTGTATCCTGATCCTCTATTACTGTCAGCTTTCTCTCTCTCTCTCTCTCTCTCTCTCTCTCTCTCTCTCTCTCTCTCTCTCTCTCTCTCTCTCTCTCTCTCCCTCTCTCCCTCCCTCCCTCCCTCCAGAATTCTCTAATCCTTAGCATAGCAGTTCTTAACCTTGAGTCTGTGAACCTTTTTTTTAATGTATTTTGGTAATTGCATTTCAACATAATTGGTTTCCTTTGTAATCTTATATATTTTATTTTGTGCATTTAAAACATTATCTTGAGAAGAGATCTATAGGTTTCACCAGACTGACACAAGGGTCTACATTACGTTTAAAAGGTTTAAAAATCCTTGCTCAGTGCAATTTGCATTTATGTGTATGTGTTGTAATAGTAATAGAATGTAAGCTCTTGGGGACAGGGGCTATTTCATTTTTGCCTTTGTATGCCCAACATCTAGCTTGGTGTTTGGTGTCTGGCACATAGTAGGTGTTTAATAAGTGCTTATTGGCTGATTAAATACTTCGAACTAGAATATCAGATTTAAGGTCATGTAAGTACTTTTATTCCTCTTCAATCCCTTCCCTTCCCTGTCCCCAATCCGTGATCGGCAATTCTAGTGTGGTTCAAGGCCTCCTCCTACAATTACACATACAGACAAACGCACACACACACACACTCTCACACACACACTCACACACACTCACACATACTCCCACATACTCTCTGGGTTGCTTATTTCTTCAGAGCATATAATATTATTTGGCCCTAATTTGGTGTAGGGTCTAGGAAGAGATGCTTCAGAAAAAAAAAAAAAGTTTGCATGCTACCCAGATAATTAAACAGTGTTCTGTCCTAAATGTGCATCTCAATTTGCAGTAGTGAATACTGATCTGGTAAGTGGCTTCAAGATTCCTCATCTGGGAGAGCTCTAGAAAAGCATGTATTCAAATGCAATTGAGATGTCAGTCTTGGGCTCCAAGATTTGAATACGTTCATGTAGGCCCTGCTCAGTCAGCTTCCTTAATCCTAACATTTTGTGGATGGTGCATTGAAATCAGTAGACTGTTCAGATAGAGCAGGGACACAGTGGAAACAAAGTGGCAGAACTAACCCCCTACCTCCCAGCAGCCCCCAGTGCTGGTAGGCATTCACAGCAGGAGTGAAGAGGGTGAATGAAAGTACTCATTTTGACAGAGAAAGCAATATTGACAGTGCTGATGATAACCTGGTAGGGAATTCTCAGCCAAATAAAAAAGAAGGAAAAAAGTAAGGATTGAAGAAAGCAAGAATGCTTTAAAACATGTTTAAACATCATTCCCTTCACTTTGTCACCAACTAATCTGTGCCTGTGTCAGTTCCTCAAATGTAATTCCTATTTGGCAATAGAGAGGGTGACTAAACTGAATGACTATAGAATGTTTTAAAGAGTCACTTCTGCTGGATTCCCAAAAAGCAGCATCTACAAGCTATTTGGTCCAAGTTGGGACTTAGTTTGTATCATTTTATTTTATCTTGCTTTATAACAAGGGATATCATTAAGGCTTGCAATGATGCATGGTCTCCGAGTACAGCACTTTGCCATTAAAGAACCATAGTTATGGGATCCAATGATTAAAGAAATATACTAGAACTTAGATTTACAAAGTTTCAGAAATATGCTACAACTTAGAGCACTAGCCTTGGAAACAGGAGAGTTAGGGTTCAGATCTGTGTTCCAGCATTTAAAAACTATGTGACCTTCTGCCAAGCCCTTTATTTCTCTG